ATCCTTGGTTTTTGTGGGATATAGCACGTCATTTGGCAACTAGAGACTTCCTGTTAGAGATTATTTAAAAGGAATTTTACTAACAAAATTCTTTACAATTTTTGACTATATTTTTAAAAGATTCTACATGTATTTCTTTTTATAAAATTTAGGCATATTTTATAAAAAGAAATACATGTAGAATCTTTTAAAAATATAGTCAAATATATATATATATAGTCAAATGAATATCTGTTATATATCAAAGATTCCTAAATGTTATGTAATCAACCCAAGATGACCAGTTATCCAAAACAACCGGATCCCTTATGGAAAGGTCTATCCCCAAGTAACCAATGACCCAAAGTAACTGGTTCCATTCATTGCCCCAGAGCTCCTGGCCTTGGTCTTGATCCGATGCCCTCTCCCCAGGACTTCCGCTTCCCGTTCCCACTGAGTTATGTATTGGAGTGCAAAATATGAGGCTATTAGAGGCTTTGAGTCCGCTCTTCATACGTGCAGGCTGCGCTTTTTCACACACCCAGCCCCATCCTCCCCGCATTCCCCGTAGGACACGTTCTGCGCCCAGACAAGAGCATCATCATTATTATTATCCAGCAGCTCATGACTGTGGCCATTACCGGGAAGGGAAGGAGGAGTGGAGGCGAGCAGCTGGCAATGAAAGCGAAAGGCTTTTTGGTGCTGCTCCTGGTCCTGATCTGGAGCTGCTGTTGCTGCTGCTCCTCCTCCGATTCCGTCTCAAGTGACTATTCACAGCTGAAGATTTATTGAATGTGCGCGATGCTGGCAGTCTGCCGTTCCCATCGCCATCGCCATCGCTGGTGTCTGCGACTGAAAGTTGGCTCTGTCTGCTCTTTGGCATTGGTATTGAGTGTTTATTTATTTTCAAGCATCATAAAAAATACACAGGCACATACACAGAGTCAGACGGAGACCGAGAACCAGAAAAGGACCACGAAAGAGCCCTAAGAGTCCTGAGTCCTGAGAGGTTCCCACTTGTGGTTTCGCTGGGAAAACTACAAATTTGGGATTCGAATTATGAGAAATGGTATTTCTTACTTACAGTTTTGGGATATTCTTAATACAGGTGGAATGAATATTGGTAAGATATCCTGGAGTGTTAGTGTAAAATATTTTCCAAGTAATATTATTTCTTTAATTACAAACACTACTGTTTTCTTGAGAATGTGTAATTCAGAATGTCCAAATCGGCAAACAGGAGGCAAGGACATTCAATAATTTTGTTCGCATTCGAGTGGCAGAAACAGCTGCAATTTTTACGCCATTTTATGCTGCCAAACCAAAGTGTAATTTGTGGCCAGGGAACTTTGTCTATTGCCTCGCTGTGGAGGGGCTCCTCCCGCTCTCGTTCTTCCCTGCAAAGAGGTTGTTGTCGCTGTTAAATGAAGCATTCGCTGGCGGAGTTGAAGATGTTTGCAATTTTTATTTCATTTGCCGGTCAATGAACATTGGAAATGTGTTAAGTGCCGCTCCGCCTTCGAACCCGTTCCACTTGTCTTTAATTGTCTACAAGTTGTCGGGAATGGCTTTTAATGAAGTGTTAAACGATACTCCGGCTTTAGTGGCCACTGCCTTATTATTTGGCACGGCCTGAAATATTAATTTCACTTCGGCCAGCTGACACTTTCTCAGGGCGCTGTGAATAATTCCCTGGCGCTTCTTCAAGTGCTGACAGGGCTAATTACCATCGATGAAGACAACACTGTGTGAGGAAATTGAGTAAACAGGCACCTAAGCCGCTTAAAGAGTGAATGGTTTCGGGCTCAAACACTGGCAATTTATGGCTTAAGCGGATGATTAATTGTGAACAAGTTGTGACTTTGATGTATGATAATAATCATGCTTGGTTTGTCAATATATCCGGAAGTTTTCGGTGCTTTTGGAGATTATATTATTTTAGCAATGATTTTATAGTGTCAGGTGGGGAATTAAATGAGTGGTAAGAACTAATGTTTGTAGTGATTTCATTAGGTGTTCTAATGGGGGAATGGCAGGGAGTCCTTGCAGAGCTTTCTCTAGTTGATATCTACCACTTTCTGAGTCCATCTGGCACATCATATGGACAATCAGTAACCACGAAAGTGTCAAACAAACAAAACGAGCTGTAAGCCTGCTGCAGTGACCCATCCTAATGATCCCACACCCTCTCACAGAATCCTATGTCACTCCTATGCCACCCCATTTACCTCTCCATTTGGAAATTTGCAAGCAAATCCTATTTTCGCATAAGAGGGCCCACTCAAAAGGGCACAGAGTAGACCAGGCCAAGAGGAAAGCGGACGAACCACATTCGAGTGCTGCGGGCGGTTCGATACTGCTCCTTCTAGCCATTTTTTTCCGGTGCACATACCATCGTGCACACATCAATCTCGTTCCGACTTTGCCCAGATACGAATCTTTCATTTTCGCATTTCCGTTCAAAATTTCGTGTAACTGAACGGGAACTTTAGAAAAAAGAAAGCGAAAAAAGCAGGAATTTTACTGCGCCCAGACAGACAGTGGGTGGGTAGCCGATGGCGTTGGAGTGGATTCCGCCTGCTCCATGGTGCCGCATGTTAATGCTAGTCAGCCACAAAATGCGGGAGAACGTTTAAAATCGAATATGGGAATTACCTATTAAATGGAAGTACTTGTGAGTAAAGAAACAGTTGATTTATTTATTTATTTATAAGCAATACTTCTAGTTTATTAAAGCTTAAGAAATATTATTTTAAATAATAATAAATAATTAAATCTGTAGTATAGTATAGTATTAGAAATAAAGTAAGCTCTCTTTCTTGTTACAATTAAATAACATTCATTTTAATTAACTGCTTAGAAAGATATCTTATATACCTACTTGGTTTCTCAATAGTTTTAAATTGTTAAAAATTATCTAAAAACATTAACTACATTCCAATATACCCCTTCAGGTGTTGGCTTTCCAGAGTATGCAAAGTGGGTATCATTCACATCGTCTGATTGCTCTGGCTGGTATCAAATTTAAATTTCTTCATTTGCCTTTCGGTCCGTGTGCAAGTTCAAGTTTTTTGTCTGTGCTCCGCCTGACTCCTGCTCCTCTTCCCTTTCCCTTTTCCCGTGCCCAACCTTCCGTTGGTTTTTCCCCCGCAAAGGGGGAGGAAAATTCAGGTCATGTGCGACCAAAAGTAAGTGGATGCGTTCTTATCAGCGCATACAAATGTTTTATCTAGCTTGGCGCGTGTGCAGGCCAAATTACACTCGAAACAATTAAAGGAATATTGTAGTAAAAATAAAGAATGGATTTAAATATTTCCAGAATTCCTCCAAACAACCATTTTCCTTAAATAACTGGGCTGAACTAGAAGTTTCCTTTTTTATTCTTAGTGTAGGCAAAAACCAAGACGAAGACAAGCCTTGGAAGTTGCCTGCGGTAGGAATGTCTCTCTTTCTTCTTCTATCACCTCCCCTCCCTCTTTCACTATTTTTCAATGTGTGTGTGAGAGTGTTTTGTTTTGCCAATTGTCGGAAGTGCCTGTGGGAGAGATCACACACAGACACACACACATGCACCGCCAGTTAGACACTTTCTTTTTGCTACTCGAGCTTCCGTTTCCGCTTCCGCTCCGCCTGTCCGTCGGCCATACTTGCTTATGCATGGCATATAACCTTAAACATAATTCTGTTTGCCTTTTGTGTGTTGTGTCCTCGTGCAATTCTATTTTCTTATCTTTGTTTGCTAGCGCTTCTTTCTATCAAGCCCCCAATTTTATCTCTTTGACTCGTGCCGAGGGTTCAGAAAATGCTGTGCCCTGTAAAATGCCAAAATCAACAGCGAACTCTTTTTAAAGCTGGCGCAGATCGATTGAGAATTTGGTCGCTTCGGCGCCATTTAACCCATTGTGGCCCCACACAATTCAAGTGTCAAAGTTTGCACTTGAAATTATAATGGTTAGAGCGGCTCCGCTGGTCATTACAAAGGAATGTTGGCTAGAATTCCAGCCCGATGCCCCGAACCCAAAGCCCCATCCCAGCCCCGGGGCCAAACATTCGCACAATGTCGAGTCGAGTCGAGTTCTTTGAGGCATAAAAACAACAAAAACTTTGAATGAAATGCATGCCCCATTGACATGTGAGTGGGCGTGACACCCAGTGAGGGAGCTCTGGCTGGGGCCTCGTCTGGATTGTCGAGGAAATGGCAAATGCATGCATGCAGCCGCACGATATGAGTCCCTCCTCTGATCCCAAGCCCGATCCCCCTGCACTAGACTCCCAGAAGCCCCCATGATTCCCTCTCTGTGCGTTGATTGTTCGATTCAAACATTTTGGCATGTTTCGGGCAGCTGAACTAGTTTTCACTTTTGCTACTAACTGCCCAGTTAGGAACAGTGGAACGCAAGCGAGGGATTGTTCATAAAAAATAGCACAGAAATTTCTGTGAATTTTCTATTCGTTTAAAAGGTTTCGCAAAGTATGCATTAAAATTTATTAAGCTTTATAAAAACGCATATAAGAACTGTAGAATAATACAAACAGTAGATAAAGTGTTAAAAAGTTATTTAAAAAGAGAAGTCTGTAAATTCCTGGAGATTATAGAAATTTTTCAGTAGAATTCAGAAGAACATGGTAATGAGAAAATTCATAGAAATATATTATGAAAACTATCCTTTTGATTCCACTGTTCAGTTGTCGCCCAGCCCAGGCTGAAATGTGTTAAATCCGCTATAAAAGCGGTTAACCGAGTAAACTGCAAATGCAAAATGCGGTTGGTTCACTTCGGTTTGGTGAGGCTCTATCCCCGGCTTGGCTTGGCCTGGCTCGATTTGACCCGTTCCTGGTCCGATTCCTGGTCCTCGTCCTGTTTCTGATCCCGCTCTTAGCCCGCCTTGCTCCCTGACCATTTGAAAAGCCAGGCCAAAGTGTTGATTTTGACCGCCTGCTGGGTTTTGTTCTGTTTCTGCAGGGCAGAAATCATATTTGAAATTTGTAGATTTTTCGGTGCTCAGTAGGCCAAAGAAATTTGCTCAAAAAGTTCACAGCAAGCACACTCATTTGTATAAGAAAATAAATAATAAATTAAAGCTCAAAAGTCCAAATAAATTAAACGAAATATTTAGCAAGCCTCAAGCAAAATGGCATCAGAGGAAGACGAAGAGGTTTGACTTGTGTTTATAAGGAAACATATTGTAAATCAAACTCTTAGGTTTACACGGAGGATGAGACGAACGAGGCCATGTCTTTGATCCAGGAGTTCGAGCTGCCCATGTCGGATCTGCACTATGCCCTCAAATATGTCCGTATCCTGCACCACGGCGGTGATACGCAGAATACTCACAAGGGGTTGGAAGTACCGAAGACTCCAGTGGCGGAGATAGAGCCACCGGAATTCGATGGCGACAACGAGGAGATCCTTGACCGTTTTGGAATTCGGGATCTTTAATAGATTTAAATATGTCTTAAACTTAAATATACATTTTAAGAGTTCCCAACGACCAAGTGCCTCCAGAACGAACTGATTTACTTCAAAGACAGCTCGTCCAGGGCTTTATTTGGGAAACTCTTGTCGGTCGAGTTCATTTGCATTCAACACTCTCGGACTTCTGCTGCAGCTCCCGGACAATCCGCGTCGAGTTGGACAATTTTTAATTGTCAAACGCAGTCGCGTGACAAATGAAGGCGGAGGAGCTGCACCGGAGAAGCCTTAATGACAGCTGATAATTTATTCAGCGAGTGCAACAGTTGAGAGACGAGGCACGAATTGTTTTCCAGGAGCCATGAAATATTTACACGGGATAAAGGCAACGGGAGCCGTGTCCTGGCGAGTCCTGCGAGATGAAATACATCCGCTTGTCATTGTCGGGACGGAGTGTCCAGATCTGCTGTAAAATGCAAATGAATTCCCGGCAATTTCCACCCTCTTCGGAGAGACTTGCATTTAATTAGGCATTAATGCGGACCGGGGTCGGATGGGGGTGCGTTCTCGGCCCTTCTGGCACTCTGCGGTTAAGTGAAAGTTGAGCTTTGGCTTAAGCCCGCCTAAGCCGCGACTAAGTTTAATGTCCCAACGCGAAACGCTCAATTTGCATTTTGCATTTTCCGCCGCCGTCGCAGTCCGCTTTTCTTTTTGAGGGGCTTTCGAAACCCTCGCCAGCGAGTGACAAATTTATTGTTTCAAACGGATTTCGCTTCGCCCCAAATTCGATTACTGGTAATTGCCTATTGCCAACCTTCGTGCGGAGAGAGGGGCGTGGCACAAAGCCGGGCTTAATTGAATTAAAAGGCGTTGCAAAGCCCAAAAGCAGGCGGATGCCGTGTTCACTGATGAAGCTTTTTAAAACGTAAACTGATTAATCGCTCGAATCCTGGTTATGGGATGAGTCCGCCGAGGCATGTGGATTACAGCGAATGATTGTGATTGGTAATGCGCAGAGGGGAGTGAGTGGTGGCAGCAGTGAAGTACAGTAAATATGAGATACAGTAATTAAAACCTGCTCAATCGGAGTCTGATCCTGAAACAGGGTGGCTTCTGGTTTGTGAGGAAAAGGGGTTATACTCTTTATAGGTTTCTAAAGGAATCTTGGATATATAATTATAATTTAATTTAATTTAAAACAATAGAGGGACTCAAGATATACTAACTTCTTGATAAAAAAGTTATAAATTTAGTTATAAAATCTCTTTTAGTATTTAATATTTATTCCCTTAAATTGTACAACACTTTTTCTAAAGGTTTTTATTGACTCCTGGCTCTTTTTCTATCAGCATTAAATTGCCAACACGGATGCAATCTCGTCTGAAGTTCAAATTACGAGCCATTGTGTAAGAACCGCAGACATGTAATAACAAATACACGGGACTCAACGCTCATTTAGGCCCCAAAAAGGGGCTGGCAATTGGGTGTGGTCGAGGTCAGGGGTGTGTCGAGGGGGTTTGATGGGTTTATTATTGGGTAAATAAATTAAAATTGTTTACCTTTCAGCAGCTATCTGCCTCGTCCTCTCCCCCCCGCCATCTCTATGTTTATTTGCTGTTTCTCTCTCGGCGGAGCGAGTGTGTTTCTGTGTTGTTTTTCCGTTTTTGTTTTATTATTTTTGCCCAGTTCAATTGCGGTTACGTGAGTACGCGTATGTTGCGGCAACTTTATTTGCACAAATTAATGGATAAATGTTCACGCACACGATAATGGGAGAGAACGACATGGAAATGGGCGGCCATCAGCATATGAAAATAAATAAAATTATGGCAAATTTATATCAGCGAGGGAAAATATCATGCAAATTTTCTTTCATGCCCAGAGTCTAAATGTTTTGTTTAAATTAGTTGAGTAAAATACGAAAAACAAGGAAGGTAATTAGGAAAAAGCTTTGTTTTGGAAACCCACTTTTTGCATCGCCGAAAGCTATAATATTTTTTGTATGCGAAAGGGAGCAGCTCAAGGATATATCTATTCCGTGCAAATGGGAATAATAGCAAAAGGCTTACACTTGCGTAAACTATTCCAAACTTGGATATCTGAGAGCTGTGAGATTTTCACTACTGCCCCTCCACACTCTGTCATTCCAATCAAAGAGGGAACTTTCCCCAAGTTCGAGGCACTTTTTCCCCTCTATTGAATTTGCTTTCGAATGAAGTTTTTCGTTGAATGGCCCAGAGTGAGCTTTGATTGAAATAGTTTAGTTTGTTTTGATAGTCATGCATACGAAGAGAAATATTTTGGGGCTACTCGAAAGTTTATACTCGATTGAGAGCCAAGTTATTGTTTACCTAGCAATGCATTTTTAGTGGTCAGTAGAAGTGAACATACAAATTGTTTTAGCTATATTTTTACTACAGTTTCTTAATCAATTATCGTTTCTTGGGTATTCTATTTCTCAAATATATAACATATTTATGGCTATTACCAGGCAATCGCATTTGAAACTTTTTCCTCAAAATTGGCACCTTTGCGTTTAAGTATCCGTATCCCATTTCCATTGCTTGTCTCTCCACTATCCAATTCTACTTAAAGTTTTCTTTGCCCAAGTAAACTTCAGCAATAGCAGAACTCGCAGTTATTATCCTGACAGTGATGGGAAAGGTACAGGGTTTTTAGCAGGAAGTATAACCGGAGTCTTCTATGGCTGTTTAAATAATTTCAATATATATACTCCAATTAATTATTATAAAATGTGTATAATTATAGTCTGAATATCTAACTTAAATGAAGATTAATTTATTGTACCTGCTTGAGGTAACATAGTACCAGACCTCTTGGCATCTCTACAGGCCAAGTGCCATAAATGTCAATAGACCAGAAACCATTATGCATAATAATACCCCTACTCGAAGTTGGTGGCGCGCTGCAGCTGCAGAGTCCCCGCTATTGCGACTGGCAACTGTCAACTTGCAACCCCCTGGCCTTTGTCCGACGTCAGCATTGTTCGCTTCTTCCCCGCATCCCCGACTTCTGTTCGCATGCTAAACAATATTTCTCCATTACGAGACAATGGGACGAGTCGCCTGTCCCCGACAAGTAGCACCTTTTACTTGTGGCATCAGTTAAAAGTTTTGCTTTTTATGTTAGCGCGTTGCAGTGGCAACTTCCCCTGCCGCCCTCCTGCAACTATCTCAAGTCGTTGCGCCAACTTTTGTTGCCTACTTTTGTGGGTCTTCTCCGTGGCTCGCTGCTCGTTGCTCTCCATGTGGCAAGTTTTTGCTTTCGCTTATTGTCCGGCGTGGAAGGAAAAAAGTTGGGTTTTGTTGCTAAATTGAATGCGACTTGCGTTTGCTTTACCGCCCTGTGTCCCCATGTCCGACGTCGTGTTGACGTCCTGCTAAAAGTCCTTGAAGGTGCAAATTGTAAAACAAACAAAGGAACAAGACCTTCTTCCCAGCTGCCTCGACCAGAGATGCCGCAACCAAGTTGACAGATAAAGTGTTGTGGGGTCTTTAAGGGGAGTTCGAATCGCCTTTAAATTCGTAATTTAAATATCATAAACAGGACTTGCAATAAATCCAACTGAATATCTTGTAAATTGAAATATTCTCCCCACTCGAAGTGCTATTCGAACGAGTCCTTTATAATTTATCCAATTATTTTAAAGTGGCATTCGACCCCAATCCATCAGGCGGGAACAAAACCATTCTGATCGCTTTGGTTTTGAGTTGTCATAGCATTTTAGTTGCCAATTACGTGGCTCGAACCGTATAAATCGCAGTCATTACATTTAACGGCTTAATTCCGGCACAGCCATAAACCAACAATAATGACCGGGACACAGGCGGCAAACACACAGGACGACCGCCAGAATCGTTTGGCATCTAAAAAGCTGCGGCCGAGTCCGTTGCACTATCATGGAATATTTATTCAATTTAAATTTACCAATTAACTTGGACTGGGGCACACACACCGCACAGGGCACCGAGTTGACAGTCCGAGGGGGAGAAAAAAAAGTGGCCCTAAATGCTGGCAGCGTTTAGAGCGCCGCTTTTGAATAATAAATGCATAATTCGTAGATGGAAAAGCGCGTGCCATAAATATAGCATGATAAATTATAGAAAAGCTATTAGAACAACAAACGACATGGCCAGGCCAGGCCAGGCAGGACTAGGCAGGACTACCCGGGACTAGGCTCCATTGTGTGCGTCGTCGAAAAATAGGCGACCATTAAGTGAGGAGCGGGCAAAGTCCTTCTGCGTTTGACATTTTTCAAATGAGGTTAGCTCGCCTCCTGCTCCTGCCTCGCCCGTTAGCCTGCTTATTTATGTAAATTTGGGTAAATTACTATGAAAATATTTACGGTAAATAGAGCATTTGAAATTTTTATAATTTAAATGGGCAGGCGCAGGCTTGCCTTTCACAGTCTGGGAAATACAATGTGTGGAAATTTCCCTCGGCTGCCGCCAGCTGTGCACGTAGCGAGTTTCCAAAAGAAACTTGCCGGGGCCACAACTTTTGCATCTAACACGATATGCAAACTGCTGGGAAAAGGAGAAGTCGGGCAAAGGCAGCGGATAAGGAAGTACAGGAAGCGGAAGCTAAGCAAACGAGTGAAGCCCGAAATGCCATTGACGAGAGAACATTTAAAAAAGTTGAGCAAAATACACCGGAGTGTGGTAGGATACTCTTTCTATTTTAGATTACTTGAAGTGGGTAGTGTCTTAACTGTAGAGAGGCCAAGTAAATAATAATCAATAATCGGTACATATTTGTGCTATCAAGTCTATCTTTAACTAGATTTCTAGACTGGAATTATACCATATTATTTTAAAACCTTTTGAAAATTGTCTCAGTAGCAGCAACAGCCTTCACCTCTATTCGCTAATACCCCTTCGAACCAATGAGAGTTTAGTATTTGTACACTCCAACCGAAATCAAATGCAAATGCTCGACATGTGTGCCCGGGTTGGAAATGGTCTTGTGTTTCCCCTGGTGCTGGCGTATCAGTTAAATTAAATATTCTTGTCAACTGCAGTCAGCAGTCTCAGCGAGTCAGGCAGGCGGAGAAGAAATG